AGTATTCTTGGTGTCCCAAAAGTCTTGGAGCAGTTTTAAGCTTTAAATTTAATAACTTTATGATAGGTTTTTTAAAATAACTTAAAGCTTAATAAACCTTAATAGCTTAAAGGCTTTTGGGACATCTAATGATGAATGAGAAGAATTCAAAGAAATGCAGGAAAATGATGCTGAATGGAATAGGCAGACCTAGGCAATCACTATACACAATGACTACAGTAATTTAAATGAAAAGTACAATAAAACAAGTCCAAATTTTGTGTAGGAATAATGCTCAATCTTGATCTTGGAGAAGAAATGATGTCTGCTTCCTTGCTCCTACTTTCCTTGGAGAGGTAGAGAAAATATGGCTCCAGAATATTTTATATGCTGTTCAACATTGTCATTTCATTGGATGACTTTGCTTAACTTGTTTTCTTTTTTTCTAAGGGAAGCCTCAAGGGGTGGGTTGGAGAGATGGGAAGGGTTTGCCCAGAAGTGACAGTAGTTTTTTTTTTAAAACAAAAATTATTAATAAAATGTTAATTTTTTTAAAAGAGAGAGAGGAGGGAGGAGAGCTCACAGTTAACTCATATTGCAAAACCATATCTGACAATGACTAAGACAAAGGCCAAGGGAAGGGCCATCAACAGGTCCTTAGGATGATGGAAGGTAACCCTATCTGAATCTTCCATGTCAGTCAATGACAACCTGGGGGAAGCCAAAGCTCTTCCTTTGAAAACTACTTATGCAGGCTGGCCAGCATCCTGTGAGCAAGAAGCTGAGAGTTTTACTATAAATACCCTGATAGGGTGATCACAGTGTCAGAGAGGGAAAGTATGTACTGGTTAATCAAAATCTCTGATTAACTGAGAATCAAGTTACAACAATGACTGATTTTAGAATTAGAATATCATAACTGTAAAGAACCTTTCAAGGCTCCAATACCCTCATTTCACAGATGAGGAAAACTAAGGCACAGAGAGGCATATAATGAGTCAATGGCAGGGCTAGGTTTGAACCCAGATCTTCTGACTCCCTATCTGGAATTGGTTCACTACATCTGCTACCCTCAGGTCATAGGCAGGGGTCCTGCTCTAAAATGCTGGCTGGTACCAAAATTTTCCTTGGTCTAAGAGATCCATATGTCATAGACTTTGTCCATAACCTACCTGCACCCAGTTTAGCCTAACCCAGAGCTGCCTGCTGTGTGAACATGGTTTGGAGAGGTGGCAGGGAAAATAGACCCTAAAACCAAAGAGCTAGGAAGGACCTTAGAACACAGAATTTTGGATTGGGGCCTTAGAATACAGAATGTAAGAACAAGAAGGTCTCTTAGAACATAAAATATTGAAGCTGAGAGGGCCTTCTTTTTATTGCGTTTTTTGGTGAGGCAATCAGGGTGACAGGGCCTTCTAACATAGAATATAGGAACTTGGAGGGTCCCTAGCATATAAAATATTGAAGCTAGGAGGGACCTTATAACATAGAATATCAAAGCTGGGAAGGATCTTAAACCATAGAATGTTGGAGCATGGAACTTAAAACAGAAAGTTAGAGCTAGGGGTAACTGCTAGTTCTCGTATGGATGAGAAGGTCCACATCACTGAACCCCCTTGTTGCAATGTTATGGGAGAGTTCTGCTTCAAACCAGGATTGGACTAAACACTGTCTAAGGGTCCTTCTAGGTCTGGACCTCTATACTTCTCAGGGTTTCCCTACCCTACCATACCCCAACTTTTCCCAATGATTCCTCTTTATTCTGCTATGGGCCTGCTGCTAAGGGATAGTTGGAAGATGGTCTCTGGAACCAGAATGTTTTCCAAGTTGCTTCCTTTCCCTGAATGCCTCCAGATGGAAGAAGATGGTTCAACTGGGAGGGTGTCTGGGGTTGCCCACTATGGAGGACCATGTCAGCATCTGGCTTCCAGAGAGAGACCGTGATTTTCCTTATCTGGTGCAATTGCCCCTGCTTCTACTCTGCACAGCACACTAGGCTCAAAAAGCATTTAAGCTCCTTGAGGGCAGGAGCTATTTCTTTTTATCCCCAATATAGTACATGATACAAAGTAGACTCTTTTATCTATAAATGTCTGGAAGTGATGGTTAAAATTCAAGTCCATGACCTCAAACCTTTTCTCAGGCTTGGTGAATTCTCTGACTTAAGTAACGATAAGGGATGTTTCTAATTATTGCTATTATTAATGGTTATGATGATAATAATAGCTAACATTTATATTGACATAGCATTAAATGTCTGCACAAATACCTAAGGTTTAGGCAACAAGAAAGGGGAACAAGAGGAGGAAAATTTGGCTTCATAGGTATCACCAAGGTTTGGTGGAATGAAAGCAATGATCTGAATAAGGTCCTAGATCAGAAGTCCTTAACCTAAGATTTATGAACTTGTTTCTAAAAATATTCTGATGGGGCAGCTAGGTTGCACAGTGGATACAGCACCAGCCATGGAGTCAGGAGGACCTGAGTTCAAATCTGACCTCAGATATTTGACACTTACTAGCTGTGTGACCATGAGCAAGTCACTTAACCCCAATTGCCTCACCAAAAGGCAAAATAAAATAAAAATATTCTGATAATTTTATTTCAATATAATTTGCTTTTTTCTAATCCTATATATTTTATTTTATGCATTTAAAATATCCTGAGAAAGGGTACACAGCCTGCCAAAGAGGTTCATGATACAAGATCAAGAACCCCTGTTCCAGATGGATGTATCCCTATTAAAACAAAATAAAGCAGGATTGGTAGGGGGGAAGGGTAGAATGGGGGTAGCATTATATATTAAGAATGTACACTTATGTGATTATAACTCTTAGCTCAAGCCTGGCATCTGCATGAGACTCTCATCATTGGTGGAAAGAATGATTACTTTATCCTCCATTCTTGAGTGAGGAAGACAGTTGGTGAGAGCTTGGGAGAGGAAAGATCCTGGTCTTCTGGTTTCTGGACTGCACATAACTCCAGGCTCTTTTTAGAGAGAGATCTTTGGAGGGAAAAACTCCAGGAAGAAGCTGATATGTAGAGGAGCTAATGCTTCAAATATTTTCCCAGCTTGCTACACTAGAGACTTTGGAGAACTCACTATATGTGACAATCTTTGTCCAACTGGCATATGGTAGGAAGCCCAAGTCTCTAGATATTGATCAGGGATACTCTTTTCATGTTAAGGGATAGTGATCAGAAGAGTAACTAGAATCTAAAAAATATTCCCTCTAGATTAGCAATATTTAGGGCACAGATAGATCTAATTCTAACCTGGTATTCACTCTCTAAGAGCAGAGTAGTTAGCCTTGTGGCCCCTCCTGCTGACCATCCACAGGTAGGAATCAGAGAGAAGGGTGGAGGAGACATTATTTATTTATTTTTAAAATGTTATTTTAAATTTATGGAATAAAACAAGCATTTCCATAATGCTTGATAATTTCCATGCACAACTTGCTACTTCTTTCAAATAGACAATAAAGTTATCATGTAAATTTCTTTTCTTTTTTTCTCTTCCCCTACCCCCTGCCTTAGAGACAGCTATCATTATACACAAATAGGCACACACACACACACACACACACACACACACATATGTGAAATTACTCTATACATACTTCTATTTATCAGTTTTTTTTCCTCTGGATGCAAAAGACATTTTCCTTCATATGTCGTTTATAGTTAATATGGGTATTTATAATAGACAAACTAACTTTTTTTTTTGCTCAAAGTAGTTCTTAAAACAATATTGCCATTACTACATACAATGTTCCATCGGTTCTGCTTATTTCACTATTCATAATTTCATGCCAGTCTTTCCATGTTTTTTCTGAAATCATTGAGCTCATCATTTCTTACAGCACAGTAGTATTCTATCACAATCATATTTCACAACTTGTTCAGCCATCCCCAATTTATGGGCATCCCTGCAATTTCTAGTTCTTTGCCATCTCAAAGAGAGTTGCTATAAATATTTTAGAACACACAGCTTCTTTTCCTTTTTTCTTAATCATCTTTGGAAATAGACCAAGTAGTGGTATTGCTGGGTAAAAGACTTTAGAAATATCTATTCACACTTCTCTGAAAGTCACGTACTAATATGAACATGCACATAATGTACACACCTTATTTGAGTAAATCCAGCAACAAGAGAGAAGAACCATGTTAACTGTTGAATGATCTACAAATGTATCATTTTTTATAATGTTAGGCCTGAACTATCAGGGGATTGATGCCCATCAGACATAACCCATTATGGGAGGTGATAATTCCCCCTATTTTCTGCCTTAGGCAGACAAAATTGATACTATTTATGTTTAGTTCTGGGCACCACAAAATAGGATTTTGATAAACTGAAGAGTGTCCAGAGAAAAGTAACCAGCAAGATGAAATGCTTTCAGTTCATATCATCATCAACATCACCATCATCATCATCATCATATTTTACATATTACATTTTAATATTTGCAAAAAAACTTTACCTATATCATCTCATTTGATCCTCATAACAACCTTATAAGGTAGGTGCTGTTATTATCCCCATTTTATGGATGAGAAACAAACTGAGAGAGGATTCCAAATGGTTTGATCAATGCCACATAGCTAGGAATGTCTAAAGTGAGATTAAAACTCAGGTCTTCCACACTCCAAATTCAGAGGTCTATCCACTGATTATTCCAAGTTGCCTGAGGATTGAAGATATTTATCTTGGAGAAGGGAAAACTCAGGGGGAACATGATGGCTGTCTTAAAATACTTGGAGGGCAATCATATAGAAGAAAGGTAAAATTTGTTCCATTTGGCCCCAGAGGGCAGAACCAGGAGAAATAGATGAAAGTTGCAAGGAAGCATCCTAAGTCTTTACATCAAGCCTAAGACTGTACATCAGAACAAAATTTCCAGAGACTAACCAAAGAGTCCTGCAATAGCCCAGGTCCAGGCCAGCCAGTTCTGGTGTTCACCTTTAAGTCATGGTCTTCCTAGGGAGCTCTATATTAAGTTTGGATCCAGGATACCCACCTCTAGCCACTTCACACCATTGGTCCTGCTTCCAGTCCAATCCTCTTAGCCATCATCTGGGAAAGCATCTCCTGTGGAGAGAAGACCAGTTATCCCCACCAAATGCCAATCCAATCACTACTTCCTACCAAGAAATCTAGCCTAGCTAAAGCAGCATATACATAGTAAGTGCTTAATATTAATTAATTATTTGATCTAAATACTTCCAGGAGCCCTATATGAGCTTTGAATCTAGACACCTGGCCTTTATCTTAACCCCAGGTTCTTTTCCAGTGCTCCAGAATACAATCAATACCTCCAACATACAGTTCCTGCCTCTTATCAATACTTTCCTGGGCTTTCCTGTTTCTGTCTGGTATGAGGTGGGTCACCTGTGTCTCACACAATTCTTCACCATCTGTCATGAGGTTTAATATTGAGGAAAGGTCTTTAACTGTCTGATGACCTGACTCCCTCAGTGGACCTCTCTCTAGCCAATTATACTTTTGCTGAATTCATTCCTTAAGGGTTAGCATACTCCTACTCTGTCCTCATCCAAGTGATTCTGAACCCCTGCTGTCATGCAAATCCTATTCCCCATTCCCCACTGCCTGCTCCCTTGCTCTCATCTCCCTCCAACTCTTCTCCACAATAGTCTATCCTCTCATTGTCTCATTCCAGATTTACTCTTCCTTTTCACTATGTTCTCTAGAATGTTTGTCCATAATAAACAAACTTGTTTTCATGTTAAAACTTTTTCTTTTCTACTCCTTTCATCACCTGACTCCCTCTGTATGCTTGTCCACTCTTTCTAGCACTAGTACCCACTTTTACCTATACTCCCACAATGTATTAGTTTTAGTAATGGAGTCTAGAATACTACTTGCTTCCTATTGCCATTTCTGGACTCTTTTATGGCCACCATCACTAGGAGAAGGTGGCATTTGTATCTCATCCACTAAAGAAATGAAATGTGTTAATTTATAGACAAAACAATTTCACTTATAATTTTTAAAGAGCCCTTTAATGTAAACAAAGAGGGTACTCAATGGATTTTTTTATTGTGGAAAAGAATGATTGCTAACAGCAGAATGTTTTTTCTGTGAGTCAGAGTCAATATCTGTTCAGTAAAAAAGGTGCTCACACCTTAACAGAAATGAAGTCAGTTTAAACATTTTTCTCTCCCATAAGTAAAAAAATAAATAAATAAATAAGATAAACCCAACAATCTCTAATGGCATTTTGCAATTTTGCAACTTGTATAGCCAGCATCTTCCAGACTTAGGTGGTGTTTTAAGAACCCATCCTGCAGGTCTTGTTGTAGTAACTTTTCACCTCTCTCCTGAGAAGGAAATCAGTTAGTATTGATTACTCTGATTTCTTTTTAGTTTGATTATAGGATTAAACTCCGTTTAGGAAAAGCTAACCCTAACAGCTAAGCCCAACTAAGATAGATAGTCTCTTAAGTCTAGGTTACCTACAGATTTAGTGAATAGATAGATTGATAAGACTGTATCATTTAGTAACAGATAATTTAGAAAAATAAAATAATCATAGAATTATGACCCTATTTAAAGGCCAAATTCCCCTTTCTAGTAGCTAGAGAAAGGGAGGTTGATAGAAAGTTAAGTTCCTCTTTCCAGTAGGTAGGTATAAGTTGAGTAACCTAATCTCCTTAGGTTAATTTTTCTTCTTCTGGTAGTTGGGGGTTGGGGCTTGACTGCTAGCTTGTCAACCACCAACCAGAAGTTGTTTTCCTAGTCACAGTTCCCTTTTCTCCAGTACTCTCTGAAGCAAGCTCAAAAAGCTGAGAAATTTTTTCAGTTAATCTGTGGGCCCCTTTAAAGTAACATTTCTGGTTACAAAAGGCATCATCTGTAGAGCAAGGACTTCTGGGGTAGGATTTAGAAAGCCTAGGAGAAACTAACTACTCAGGTTGCCTGTCTTGTCAAGTGAATTACATTCAAAATGAGTTTCTGTATTTTTTAATACTCTCTTCTGTAATAAAAACTGTAAGTAACTTTGTCTCTGACATCTGAGGAATCAGATGACTTGATTTTAGAAATGCTAGCTTTGCAGATTAAATCATATATGCTCAATAGCTTCATTCTCAGTTTCTTTATTTCAAATAATTAATCTTAACACTTCTCCTGAGAGAGAAGGTAGCTTACTTTTAAGTCACTTTAGTGAAAGAAGATGCTTCAGAATAAAAAAAAAGCAAATGATCAAGAAAAAGGAAACTTTAATTTGGTTTGCCTTACTGTAGTGAAGCTCTGAATGATTTTTTCACAATCTAATGCCTCATAAATTTGAGGTAAAGTCATCTTAAATGCATTAGATTAGATTGTTTATGAGTTATTAGGCAAGAAGTGAAACCACACTTTTATTTCAGTTCTGATAAACTAAAAGCAAAATTTCACCAATTTGCAAAAAGAGACAGATTCAATGGAAAAAAGGAAGTAGATCTGAAGACACAATTTGAAACATTATTTGGAAGCAGAGAAGCATGAGATTGAGAAATTAGCAGTATTAAAAAGAAAATGAAAGAGTGAATCAATCTAAAGAGAGATGCAATTTCTTTTGTAGTTTGCAAGAATCAGTCTGCTTTAGTAGCTTAAAAAATGAAATTAAAGATAGGTGACTTTGTAGACTTATAGTTCAAATAAAAGACAATAAGAATATCTATATGTAATAGCTATGACTAAAGGGATCAGGCTATGTACCAGTAGAATAAAGCTATTATTAAATTCCAATTGACCTTAAGTTGGACAACCTTCATCCCAGTCAGCCTTGTTAATCTGCTACTGTACAATCAATCAATAATAATGACATCAATAACAATGTCACACATGGACATCAAAGCTATGTGATGTGGAATTGAGGTCACTTGAGATCCCCAAGGGTAGGATAGAGATGTAAAAGATTAAAACGGGTGACAGAGACTTCACTTGGGGGAGAGGGGACAGTGGATCATTGCTAGGACAGACCTTTAAAGATCATCAATCCCTCTTACCCTCTACCATAAGCAAGAGTAAAAGGGATATGTATCTGGCACAGAGGTTTTAGGGAATGAGCACCAGTGATGTAGATATGGCTATCCATTGGTAGCACATCTTAAGGAGGAGAAGTGATTATATCCTCAAGACAAGGGAATTAAATTATGGAACAAGGCTTACCTGTTGCTATAGCATAGAGAGCATAAAGAGATGGTTGTGTGGTTTGTCTTTAGTTCTCAAAGAAGACCATGACATCAGGGAGATGGTGACATGACTTGCAACTGACTTTGATTTGAGTGAGGGAGAGCTGTGCAAAGTCACCAGCCTCACTTTCTCCTCCAGAGTCATCTGGGTCCAGTGGCCTGATATCTATCAAGATGACTGTAGAGGGCCCGGGATGCATTGAGAGACCTTGGCCTTTTGAAGCTAAGGTCTTCTCAGGTTCTCATTTTGAGTGAGGCAACACCCATTCAGTGAACAGGCCTCTTTAAGAAGTGAGTCAAAGGATGGCCCTTAACTGGGAGGGAAAGACCCTTAGAGTTTCTGGCCAAAAGGGAAACAGTTACTATTTACATTCACTCTGAGCCAGGAGGGCCCAAAAAAATAAACAATAAGTGGTGCTTAGGCAGGACAGGGACCTATTGTTGTCCAGTCCATGAGATTCAGAGTGAGTTGGGTTTAAGGCTTGGTCTTTGAGAAAGAAAGCTAGCCAGTAAATTCCAAGCTAACTAGGTAGCTTTTGGCCATCAAAATTTACCTTCCTTTGGGCAGAACACCAGGAGAGGAGAGGAGAGGAGAGGAAAGGAGAGGAGAGGAGAGGAGAGGAGAGGAGAGGAGAGGAGAGGAGAGGAGAGGATGAGCTGCCCAACTAGAACTGGCCAGCTGGTTCCCCATTCAGGCAATTCAGACTACTCACAGGTTGTGGTTTATCCTTCATTCTTGAAGAGGATCATGACATCAGGAAGATGGTGACAAGACTCGCAATTGACTTTGATTTGAGTGAGGCAGGGCTGTGCAAAGTCACCAGCCTCACCTTCTCTTCTAGAGCCACCTGGGTCCAGTGGCCTGATATCAATCAGGTTGACTGGAGAAGGTTCCACTGAAAGATGAATAGACATTGGGAAGGAGGCTTGCTAGTTCTCATGCAGTAGAGTTGAATGTCTCTCCTACAAAAGAATCATGTTCCTTCCCAGAAGTAATGAGATAGGTCAGCAGATAGAGATATCTCCTCCTCCCCCTCAATCAGGGATTGAGAGAAGTGATAGAGCAGTCCAGGGGATGTGGTATTGAAAAAAGGAACTGTGTGTGTTGGGGGGGGGGGGACAGTAGGTCAAAAGCCTGGGGATAAGAAAAGTTAGGACTAGGGAATCTAAGATGGGGGTGGGTATTTAGGAACAATAGGGTTCTGGGAAGGAAGGAGAGATGGTTTGAATGAAGATGATGTAAAGAGGGTCAGTAGGCTGTGGGGGCTTTGAGAAAGGAGGAAGAAAAAAAGAGAGAAGGAGGAAGAAACAGAGATTGGGCTAGGTGACTGATCTAGAGAAGGGGGACACACTAGAGAACAGGCTCAGCCTCTAGGTCAACAGATAGAAGTTTCAGAGAGTCACAGGAATCCTCAATGTGTGGAAAGGCTTCTTAAAATGTAATGGGGGTGCAGAGCCAAGATGGTGGAGTAAAAGCAGCGACTTGCTGAGCTCTCCCCCAAACTCCTTCAAATACCTATAAAAATGGCTCTAAACAAATTCTAAAGCAACAGAACCCACAAAAAGACAGAGTGAAACAAATTTACAGCCAAAGACAGCTTGGACGGTTGATCAGAAAGGTATATTGCCCCAGGCTAGGAGAGGAGCACATCTCTGCATGGGTGCACAGGCCACAGCAACCCTGGAGCAGGTCTCAGAGGACTGATTCACAGGCAGTTGTGGCAGTTACTAGACTCCTCAAGCCACAAATGCCAAAGACAACTTGGAAGGTCAGTGGAAAAAGTCTGTGATTTCAGTGAGAGAGAAGCTAGGTCTCAGCCGCAAGTCCCAAGTGCAGGCCAAGGCTGCCTCCTGAGCTGCTGGCCCACAGACTGAGGGGAAATTGAGTGGCTGATCAGAGGGGGATTGCAGGGATCTCTTTGCATGTGCTGAGGCAGGAATCTCTTGCTTTGCCCATGCTTAGATATGGGTCACAGTTCTGGGTGGCAGTCCTGCAGCGAGGAGGAGTGCTGGTGTGGTAGAGCTTCTAGTGGCTGTGGAGAGGAAACCTTCCTCACAGTTCCAAGACAGAAAACAATGCTCATAGACCAGAGCACAGGCCAGAAAAGGAGTAAACACCTCACCCTTGATCATAGCACCTTGGGAGAACTGAAAATTTATAGGTCCCTAGAAGTATCTCTGAAAACAGCTGCACAAAACCCCTGAAGCTTGGGACAGTACATTCTCCACACTGGAAACAGACTCCTACCTTAACAAAGAGTTTATAACTCAAGTAATTGGCTGGGATCATGAGCAAGCAATGCAAAAAGAGTCAGACTATATTATCTTACTTTGATGACAAAGAAGATCAAAACATACAACCAGAAGAAGACAAAAAAGCCAAAGCTCCTATATCCAAAGCCTCCAAGAAAAATATGAATTGGTCCCAGGCCATGGAAGAGCTCAAAAAAGATTTTGAGAAGCAAGTAAGAGAAGTAGAGGAAAAACTGAGAGTGATGCTAAAGGAGACCCAAAAAACTACTGAAGAAAATAACACCTTAAAAATAGCCTAACCCAAAGAGGTCCAAAAAGCCAATGAGGAGAAGAATGCCCTAAAAAGCAAAATTTGTCAAATGGAAAAGGGAAGTCCAAAAGCTAACTGAAGAAAATACTTCCTTAAAAATTAGAATGGAGCAATTGGAAGCTAGTGACAATTTGAGAAATCAAGGCACTGTAAAACTAATCCAAATGTATGAAAAAATAGAAGAAAATGTGAAATATCTCATGGGAAAACAACTGACTTGGAAAATAGATCCAGGAGAGAGAACTTAAAAATTATTGGACTATCTGAAAGCCATGATCAAAAAAAGAGCCTAGACATCATCTTTCAAGAAATTATCAAGGAAAACTGCCCTGATATTTTAGAACCAGAGGGCAAAATAAAAATTGAAAGAATCCACTGATCACCTGCTGAAAGAGATCCCCAAAGGAAAACTCCTAGGAATATTGTAGCCAAATTCCAGAATCCCCAGGTTAAGGAGAAAATATTGCAAGCAGCCAGAAAGAAATAGTTCAAGTATTGTGGAAACACAATCAGGATAACACAAGATTTAGCAGCTTCTTCTACATTAAGGGTCCAGAAGGCAAGGAGTATGATATTCCAGAGGGCAAAGGAGTTAGGACTACAACCTAGAATCACTTACCCAGCAAAACTGAGTATAATCCTTCAGGGTAAAAAATGGTCATTCAATGAAATAGGGGACTTTCAAGCATTCCTGTAGAAAAGACCAGAGCTGAATAGAAAATTTGACCTTCAAATACAAGACTCAAGTGAAACATGGAAGAGGTAAATAGAATAGAGAAACCATAAGAGATTTATTAAGGTTGAACTGTTTATGTTCCTGCAGGGAAAGATGATATTTGTAGCTCATGAGTCCTTTGTCAGTATTATGGTAGTGGGAGGGAAAAATTATATGTATGTGTAGATAGATAGCTAGAGGGCACAGGGTGAGTTGAAGATGAAGGGGTGATATCTGGAAAATAAAATTAAGGGGTGAGAGAGGATTATACTGGGAGAAGGAGAAAGGGAGAGGTAGAATGGGGTAAATTATCTCACATGAAACAGACAAGAAAAGGCTTTTACAGAGGAGGGGAAATGGGGGGAGGTGAGGGGGAATGAGTGTATTTTATTCTCATAGGATTTGGCTTAAGGAGAGAATAACATACCCAATGGGGTATGGAAATCTATCTTACCCTACAGGAAAATAAGGGGGGAAGGGGACAAGAGAGCAGGGGGTTGATAGAGGGGAGGGCAGATTGGGGGAGGGGATAATCAAAAGCAAACACTATTGAGGAGGGACAGAGTCAAAAGAAAGAATAGAATAAATGGGGGGGGGGTAGGATAGGATGAAGGGAAATATACTTAGTTGTTCACAACAGGACTACTATGGAAATGTTTTGCGTGACTACACATCTATAACCTGTATCGAGATGCTTGCCTTTTCAATGAGAGTGGGTGGGGAAGGAGGAAGGGAGAAAATTTGTAACCCAAAGTTTTAAAAACACATGTTAAAAAGAAAAAAAAAGTAGAAGATGGTGCCTGAGCTGAGCCTTGAATACAGGGAACTACAGATTCTAAGGGGGGCAGCACAGAGGGAGCACATTTCAGGTAAAGGTTCACCCTAAACAGATGCGTAAGTGAAAGATGGAGTGTTGAGAACAGGGAACAATAGCAAGTAAGCCAATTTAGTCGGAAGATAGAGTGTATGGAGGAGAATAATATTCAATAAGCCTAGAAACGTAGACTGGGGCCAAATGATAAAGGGCTTTAAATGCCAAACAACAATCTTTTATCCTAGAGGCAATAGGCAGACAGTGGGACTTCTTGAGCAGGGTAGTGATCCAGTCAAATCCATGCTTTATTAATGTCAATATGGCATCTGTGTAGAGGATAAAATTGGAGAGGAGACATGAGTCAGGGAAACCATCTAGGAGTCTGTTGCAATATACTGTATGAGAAGTGAGGAGGATAGAGCTAGGGTTGTGAATGGTGAGAAGGGGATGGATTCAAGGATAAAGTCAGAACTAACAGGGCTTGATTACTGATCAGATGCAGGATATGTGGAAGAGTGAAGAGTCATTAACTGAAGCCATGAACCTGGATGACTGATAGGACAGTGGCGCTCTCAACAGAAATAAGAAGCGAAGATAAAAGGGGGGTGAATTTGGAGGAAAAGAACATGAATTCTGATCATGATATGTTGAGTTTGAAATGTCAGCAGGACTTCCAGTTCAAAAGGTCTAACAAACAGGAATGCAGAACTGGAATTCTTCCATCTCCATGCTTTTGTACGGGCCATCTCCTATGTGAAAATGTGCTTACAGCCATCACCTGGGGAAGCAATTCTGCGGAGAATGGAGCCAGCCATCCCCACCCACAGGGCAAGCAAGGCAGCCTAGCTGAAGCAGCAAGGCTCCCTGAGGAAGGGGCAGGAGGCAACTATGCACCCATACCTTGACCACCATTCTCCTTCAGACCCCAGTGGAGACAGCTCAGGACCTGAATCCAAGAGCTTTGAGAAAATAAATGCCTTAACCTGGGGTGATTTGGAGCATTTTTTCATAAAAAAATGTAATGGGATGTCCCTTCCCTGGAAGTTTTCAGGAAGGAAGCTAGATGACCCAACCTCAGGCATGTTTCAGAAAGGAGGCCTGCATGTGGATTGCTCAGCCTCCATGGTCTCTGAGGAGCTAACTCAGAGAGTCAGGAGACTGTGGATTGATGGGGGTAGTAAGAAAAATCCTAGCTAAGGATGCAAGTAGTATGGAGCCTGAGTAAGTAAAACTAAAGGAAAATTTGGTGAGGGGTCTCTCCAAGAAGGTTCAGGGGGTAGTCTTAGTAAAGACAGAGGCCAGAAGCTGGGGGAGAAATGAGGAGGCAAGCGCAAGGGCCAGAGAGAGAAATCAAAGAGGTGAAAGGTAGATCTGGGCCAATGTCAACAGTAACAGTGAGCCTTGCACCTGTGGGCAGCAGTTTCATCCTATGCCCAGATCACCTAAAATCACCTCATGTGGCAGAACTCATCCTCTGCTCCTTCCAGGTCCCCCATCACACTCTTACTCAGTCTCCCTGTTGCCAGGTTGTTTCCACTCCCTCCATTCACAACCCTCCAGCACAGGAAGACCACCCTTGCCCTAATCTCTTACAAACAGGGGCACCAAACCACAGATTCACCCTCTCCCTCCAGACACCTCTAACCCCTCCCCCA